TATTGAAGGCGCGGTTGTCCTCCTCCATGTGCTGTTATTCCTTCTCCTTTGTTCAGAGAACGCTGAACGGCCCAAGCTGTTCCACACGGGGGTGAGTCTACTGCGCTATTTTGGCACGCGCGATGGGCTGGATGTGCTGTGGCACCAGGAGCCCAGCTCTCTGGGTGAGTGGCACTCGGGGTTGGGTTGACTTACCACGTGCTTTTACTCACTGGTGCCCTCTGTAGAATTATTCTCCAGGTTACGGGACAAGGGTTGGCTACGTTTGTATGTTGAACTTCTTTCGCACCGTATGTAAGAAGTTAATGCATATACATCAATGCGTATCGCACGGTCACACACAGCTTGGTATCTACCCACAGTCGCACTCAAGAGCCCCTTACTACCATGGGCAGAACAAGAGAAAGAGACAGCCTTTATTTAACACTTAGATCATGGCGTTTGAGAAGTCGGGTGTGGTGACACGGTTGTTCTGACTTCCTGGTATTTTATTCTGATCGTGTCCTGGTGAGGTTTGACGTAGTTTCAACTGTAATTGTCGCGTCTGCTATATTTGTTTGTTAGAATTGTTCTTCAACTCGGCGACAATAATTGTTGCATTAAACGCTCGTACACGTGTCAATTTTATTTGTTTAGCTGCACGAGGTGGTGGAGGGTCGTTGACTTGTGTCACGGTTTTTTTTATGAGCGGGCTGTGCCCTCTGTGATGATGGTGATGCGTGTCTCGTCCTGTGTCCCCACCCACGCAGGTCGTGGCCCGGGTGGCATGCTGGTGCTGAACGTGTTGCTGGGCCCTGGCGATGCCGCCGGCGACCGTGCCACGGCCGTGCCCAGGGCTGTGTTTGGCAGCGCCGACAGCAACGCGGATTCGGCAGCAGCTCCGATAACCCTGAGCGGCTACCTGGACAACATTGACACTTTGGTATGAGTCTCAAGGATCGTTTTTCTAGAGGTGCCTGCCACGGAGTGTTTGGCAAGTATCACTATGCACGAGTGATTTGTAATTTATTCTTTAGGTTGGGCTATGTCACGATCTGGCTAAATTTATGTCCTTAAGAACCCTGCACAACTCGACACAGCCAAACGAATTGATTGTCACGTGTACAAATGTTTCACGCCCCATTTGCTTTTGTTTCAGCTCAGGAATATGCCGAAGAACATCTTTCACAACCAAATTTAGCAATTGGATACACTGCTGTGAATAATACAAGTGTGCAATAGGTTTTTCCTTTTCACGATGTCCGGCGTTTCTCTCCGCGTGCTGGCAGGTTCCTCGGGAACCGATTTCCATTCCGAACTAACTTCAGTCCCTGTAACCGCACCGGAGAGCTGTAACCCGCACCGCCTCGAAAGTCCCCGCAGTCGTACCGAAGAATCCATGCTCTTGCCCACGACTTGACGATTTTGTCATTGTCTCTTCTTTTGTCCTCCGACCTACAAAATCCTCGTCACGCAGGCTGCCGGCTCTCAAAAAACTGCCCTCTTCCTACGGATCCTGAGCCGCGACGCCCTGCGTCCCACGCTTCAGGTGCTGCGCGACCGCGCTCGCCCGCTCACCCGCCCCGTCTGGCTCTCGGCCGCCGTCGCTCCCGGCGGCGGCGGCGGTGGTGCCGCGGGCGTTCTCGGCGCCGCCGAGCTGCTGAGCGCCGTCGCGGAAATTTTTCCCGACGTGACTCTCGCGCCGGCCTGGCCCGAGCCGGACGTGGCGGCGGCGGCGGCTTCGGCGGTCGTCGGCGGTGGCGGAGAGCGATACGGCGAGGCGTCGCTTGCGGCTATGCGGGACGCGTTTGCCGACGTCACGCAGCCGGTGTCCTATCAGCTGGATGCGGCGGGGGGGGAGCTGGCCCGCGGCGGTTACCGCCTGGCGAGGTCGTTGCTGCTGGATGGCACGCCGACCCGCTCGGTCACGATCAGCGTGCCGAGCTACGAGGAAGCGTTCGAGGTCCTCACCAAGGTCCGCAATCATTTCCCGGCCAGCGCCGTGTTTTACAACGTGTCGCCGGACGCGCACAACAAATTTGCGATCAGTGTCTTCTCGTCGTAGGTTTAAAAGGCAGAGGGTTGTGCACAGGTCGGTTCCTGTTGTGCACCAAACTTGCTATGCATTGCTCTAAGACATTATGGGTAAGGGCACTTATGAGGAGACATAAGTTCCGTCTCCACATATTTAAATATTTTTGAGTGCCATTCGCCTATCTTACACCGAGCATTTACGCTGTCAAGAAAGGAACCGCTACTGATACCTAATTTCTACCTTAGCATGGGGCTGCCAAAGACCTGCATTCATTGCAAGGACAAAATGTTTATTTTTTTATCAGATAATAGTGTAACGAGTCGATGGTCTGGTCTCTGTCACCAATGAATGGGCCAATGAGTTCAGGCTAAATAAAAACCAACGTATCAATTCCGTTTTGCACTTGATTTGGCCAAATTCCAGGTCTGAGAATTAACAATAATTATACAGGTCTGACAGTTGTGCAACACAATCTCATAGCAGAGCTCGTGGGAATGTGCGCCCCCTACCGTGTGAAGGGTAAACAATCCCCCTTCTCCAGAGAAGTCCTGTGACAGATGTCTTCCATGGACCGTTGTGATACTGCTCTGAGATTTCTTTATATAAACAGTAGGAGGATGCTGGATCTGTGTCCAGCCTTTGAACTGCAGTTTTCTCTGGATTATAGGGTGCACTTTTTCCCTTCTGTTTAACAACACAATTTGGGGGATGCATCTGATAATCCAGTAGGTGTGTGCGTATGTGCGAGAGAGATCAGATTTGCATAACACTACTGACATCATCTGGTAAAAGTTTACTTTCTGGAGCGTCTTATAATCCAGATAATACGGTATAAATTCTCATGGTTGTCGGTGCTGCCACACAGCATCATGGATCCCCTTTCAACGGGTCTACCCATGAGCGTCTGCTCGACTATGCAAATGTTATTGAAAGTAAAAAAGCAAACTTTTAGTAAACTTGCAACAATTACAACTGTCTGTTGGTTTATAAAATGTAAAAATACCTGGTGGGTAATTTTGTAAAAAAAAAAAAACTATAGATTTACTGGATAAACTGTTTATTTCGATGTACTTTTTGCACTTTTATATTGGCAAAAGTATTTCTAAACATTTTGTAAACGTTTAAAAGCTGTATCCGAATACAGTACACTGTAAATATGGACGTTATTTCCTTTACTGATGTAGTTCATGTATTGCATACTGTATTGGTATTAACATGAATAAAATCTGCATGTAATATGTAACGGACCAACATGTGAAAGTCATATATAATGTTATAATACAACAGCACAGAGATAAATACACATGCATTCAAACTTGTGCAGGATATTGGACTTGTATATACCATAAAATTAATCGGAACATGCCGATATTGCCACATTGGCATAGCCAAGGTAAGTGAATAAGGTGTCTGTGACCACTTGTTAGAACAGCCTGATGTGCCTTGCCCCGTTGGTGGGCAGTAGAGGGCAGTGCAGCTAAATCCATCTTTGTACAAGGTTTCCCTTGCTCTGTGCGGTGTTGGTTTGTACAATTCCGCGTATATGCCGCTAACATTTCTTCCCCAAAATCGCTTCGTGCGGTTTGAATTGATTAATATGCGGCTTCAGACGGTCGAATGTGGGACAACATTGTGTGGTGTACTGTGGGCGCTCCTCGGCGAGCAGCTGTCTCGCGCGGTGCATTGTGGGGAAGTTTACTGCTCCGTGCTACGCAATTTCGCTTTGCGTGCCCCCTTTTTTTGGAACCCATCTACCGCATAAAGGCGAGGCAAACCTGTATTGTACATCTATATTCCCAAAGCTATGCTACCATTACTCCCATAGACACAACACCTAGTGGCACTAAGGGATATAACCATCACCATAAATAACGAATGTCTCTTTTTGTTCCTTCACAAATAAAATATAGGGTTGTTCCCCTTTTTTCTGGCAACAAAACTGAAACCTTTTTACAAGGATTCATGTCTGCATTAAGCACAATACCTGCAGTCAAAATGCAAACAGAAAACATACTATGATAATATATGCATTGTCCTTGAAACTGATTGACAATGCATATATTATCATAGTATGTTTTTGTTTGCATTTTGACTGCAGGTATTGTGGTTAATGCAGACATGAATCCTTGTAAAAAGGTTTCAGTTTTGTTGCCAGAAAAAAAGGGGAAAAACCCTATTATTACATTTTGGTACTGGCAAAGGAGGTCTAATGATGTAGATCCTCACCCCGAGCCCTCATTACTTTGATAGTGCATTGTATTTGAGCTGTACGCCTTTTGGCGTCATCTGGTCGAGCACCAATTGGGTCGAGGCTCAAAAGAAAGCCGTCCCTTGGTGTGGACCAATCAGTTTCAAGGACAATGCATATATTATCATAGTATGTTTTTTGTTTGCATTTTGACTGCAGGTATTGTGGTTAATCCAGACATGAATCCTTGAAAAAAGGTTTCAGTTTTGTTGCCAGAAAAAAGGGAAAAACCCTATTATTAAATTTTGGTACTGGCAAAGGAGGTCTAATGAAATAAAATGTTTTTTTTTACACATCCCATCAGTGATATATCCTTTGGGGAGCGCATAGAAATTTGGCAGCATTAGTTCAACGCAAGCAAATAATGCACTGGTTTTGATGCTCAGTGTCTCATCGGCAGAGGCTTGTGGAAATTATGCAGTTCTGGAAAGTCGTGTGGCTGATGGGATGTGTAAATTTTTTATAAAAAATTTTGATGTGGAGGGGCCGATGTGTGAAGGAGGCATATTTTGTCTGTTAAATGATTGCGTAACTTCTGTTTGCCACAAGGAGGCTCATGGTTTGTGGGTGCGGGCCGAGTTGGTCGCACTGAAGGCTCGCGCTGACCGCCACGCATCGGAACGTTGTGCGACACTTGTTCTGAACAAAACAGAATCAATATGTATTCATACTGGAGGAATGCGATGAGCTATACTGCTCTTTATCACAGATGTCCAGTAGGCAGTAAAACAACAAAGCGCGGTTTTCAACGTGTTTTATTTACTTTGATTACATGAGCGTTACGTTGTTGACATTGTAGCGGTTAGTCTGTACGAGTCTGCAGAGCTATCGTGGAGTAGAACTCTTCAAGAACGGTGGCGATTGCACTTCACTCAGGTGGACTCCAGCAAAGTGAAACTCTCAACTCACTTGTTTTGTTTTAGATGTTTGCCGTGTGCAGAGTACCTGGCCGACGGTGCGTACATTTAAAAAAAAAATTCTCATCGATGTTGAACATTTGCTTGGTCCCTAAGCTCGCTCTCTGACCAGGTGGTAAAGCGGGAGAGTTGGGGTGACCGGCACCAAGAGGGAACAATTCTGACACATAAAGAATCCCAACTCCCATTTCCTACGCTGTGGAGTAATGTGCCGCTAATGGTCAAAAGGTTAAAAAAATGTGCAGCCCTGCAATGTCTTGCTTGGGCCACTGCTGGCGGGGAAGGGCCTCCACTCAAGGGAGGTCTCGAGATGTTCTCTCGAGGGTGTGTGGTCGACTTGTTTCACGCTGGCCAAATGCATTAGAAAAGGTGTGAGCACCCACACGTCACCCCGACACACGTGACCTTCCAATCGCTGCTGCGTGGACCTGCGGGGAGATTTACAAAACCTTGATGCCCATTGTCTCAAGTGCCGGGCCAAGACGGCGGCGAACCTGGCGACCTCTGGATTGCAAGTCGAGTGATGAGCAAAGCATCACAGTACGACAGCTTCCTCCTTGCAATGGGGCAGATGAACAATTTGGATGTTCATTGTGCGTCAGTTTTTCTTTACAAGGTCAGAATCTCCAACTGGTCTTTGGGTAATTTATTTGGTGGTCAAATCCACAATGAAAGGGAACACAACACGGTCAACAAGCTTATTCTCCCTGATGAGTGCGCTGATCTGAGAACCCAGTAACATGGTTCCTCCTTCAAAGTCTTTAACTTGAGACTTGTTTTGGCGAAGTGAGATTTCGCATGGATTCGAGTGCATATTGTGTGCACCCTTAGGATAATGAAATTCCACAAAACCACCTGGAATGATAACACGAGGGCATCTGCAAGAGCTTCGGGGCTTGTTGCATTGCGAGGCCACGAGAGATGGTGGCAGCCTTCATCCAGCAGTGGATTGGTCATGGTTGAGGATGCTGATGGTTTTACCATGGCCCGGCTACTACACAATGAGCACTGTAGATTACAAAACGTAACGATTTGTTGTGCGTATATAATCTTAAATCATTCGTTAGTGATTTAAGATTATATACGAGTTCCTAATAATTGTTATACAGACACTAAATATAAATATATGCAATGAGGCAGTCTATCATCTTGCATTGAACATTGTGCACGCATATGCAAAGGTGCAATCAAGATATATATATAAAAGGGGCAATGCAGCAAGATGTAAGAAGACGTGATGAGCAGGGCTGTGGAGAGACCACCGGTGGAGGGAGTAGTGGAGCACGAGGCGGGAGTTATGGATCGAGATGCGAGCACGGCGCGTGCGACTGGAGTAGAAGAGGCACGGTATAGAAGCTCCGTGGGGAGAGAGAAAGCGCGAGCAGCCGGCCGCGTGTGACGATGGAACCTCGTGGCTTAGTAGGAGGGGGGGGGGGGGGGAAGAAGAAGCAGAGGAGAGAATCGCAGCGGTGGGTGTCCTGCGTCTCGCGGTGGGCACTTCCGTCATGGCCAGGAGCTCCGGGGAACATTGCAGCGTGGCTTGGCACCGTCCCCACCAAGCTCAGGGTTGCTTCGGTGCCAGATGCTTCCTCGGGCCCTTGCGACCTCTGCGCCGTCCTCCCTGGTTCAGTCCTCTCTTTGGGTGCGGAAATAAATGACAATTGAGATGTGGGATTTTAAAACAAAATGTAATATGACAGTGCGTTGTGTTCGGCGCCGAACTGATAATCGGGTTACTTAAAATGTATGCAACTATCCTTAAGAGGCAAAGGTGCAGCCCTGTAAATTCTTGCCCACGCTGCTGTTGGCGGAAGGACCTCCACCCTCGGGGGCTATCGAGATGTTATCTCGTGGGAATTTGGCTTCTCCGCTTTCCAAGCTAATGACGAATGCGTTCTGATAGGTTGTACCCTTTCTGGAAATAAATCAGGTGAAAAGATGTTCAAACACCAAATGCATTCCTTTTGCAAAAGGTATATATTTCGTGTTTTAACATCTTAACACATTCTGTTTTTTTGCCAGAAAGGGTAAAACATTATTCTTAGATGTAATAACTTTTTGATACTGGCAAAAAGGCCTGCAGATACTAACGAGTCCACAGTGAGTGTGCTTCTGTGCACTTAAAAGGTTCCGTCGTCAGCATTTATGTCACCTTTTAGAAGAGGGAGAAAAAATGCAAACTCGAGAAGAACCACGATTTGCTTTTCTTCTGAAACGCTGCGGCCGTTTCTTTGCCAAATCTCAACACAACCCTCGCTGTGGCTGCACTGCCGCCGCCACGCGCCACGTCTAAGACTCCCTGGCATAGCACCACCTTGAGGTGGAGCGGTAGCCCAGTGGTTGACGCCCTGCTCTTTGAGTACGGTGACCCGAGTTTGATTCCTGGCCACGGCTAACATCAGTCGTGGGCGAGGCTGTCACGAGCAACTATCGTGTGCGTTCGTGCTCTCTGCATGTGCCGCGTGCGTGGGGGGAGACAAAGGCGGCCTGGCGCGGCGCTCTGGCCACATCGCCCTCTTGTGCGCCGTGCCGGCCTTCATAGGTGCTACTCGCCAACAGCACTTGGCCCAACAGTCTGTTCAGGCTACACGGGGAAACTCTGTCGCGGTGTCTGCGTGGGGAGCAGTGCTGAGTGGTTTATGTGCCGTGCTCCCGTAGCGCACCCACGAGTGGGGGATGGAGGGGGAGCGATCGCCCTTCCCCCTCGGGGCCCCGAATATTGGTATTGATATTTAGCAGAGAAAGACGAGTAATCATATACTTACTTATTGACGTAGGGCTCCATTAAAGGGGCTTGAAATTTCTGGACCACTATCCCCTCCCCCCACCTTGGAAAATGTCTGTATCAGATTCTGCTGTACTACGAACAATGGCCACATGAGTTCGAGTCCCAGCCACGGTTAACGTCATTGGCGCTCACTATCCCCTTGATCCGTGTAGCCACCTCTCGTCTCTATGGCGCTTATTGGGGTTTACCATAATCGAAGTTCCGTGGATCAGGAGCATTTTGCGCTGCTTCAGGGGCATCTGCAGAGACTTCTGCTTGAGTGCTGGGGGAGAGAAACGGAGAGAGCGGCAGGAGGATTTGTGAACAGCGATAAAGAGATGTGGAGATGCTTCACGGTGAAGTGAGAAACAATTTTCTCCGACTATTTCAGCAGTGGTGGCTCTCGGCATAAGCAAAGTATAACGGCCCCAAGCAGCTAAAGGGGGGCCCAGGACTCGTGACGACATCCGGTTGCACCAAATATCAACTCGATTACGCATGCGAATGAACACAAGCCAATTCACATAAAACGGTACGTTTATCTGTCTCCATGTCACTCAATCTCTGTCTCCTGTCCATCGCTTGTTGTCTCGTTTGAGTCTCTCCCCTCCCATTACCACCTCTTTTAACTTTGGTCCAAATATTTATCGTCTCTGCTACAACTCTATCACTTGCAACTCTAGCTGTCATCTCGCCAGGAGTTCACGAATTGACAGGGAGGGCCCTCGAAATGAATGATTATTTGTGCGGAGGGCTCCCAATGGCAGCACCACCAATGCTGCACAGGACCTCAATGAGATGTCACACGTGGGCATCGGCTCGGCTGATTACAACCACACGAAGATTTGTACATTCTTCAAAAGTGCTACAAATAGCCGTCGGTTTCCTCTGCTGGCGATATTAAAACAACGATCACGAGCAAACACTCCACAAAGGCCGACGACGGTGATTGTGCGAGCTTCCGTCGTTGTCGTGTTGCGGCATGCCGACGATTCCCATGGGTGCCCGATTGTGTAGAAAGCGTGCCTGATGTGTGGGTCGTATTTATAATGAATGTTGTTTGTGTTTTTGTTGTGCATTCGCAGGTCAGTGAGTTTTGTTCACTTCGATGCCCGTTCGTTAATTTACGATGTCAGCTGCAGAGGGGAAATCGCAGAAAACAATCACAGTTGTACTCTACTTCTATGACCCCCACGTAATACGCTGCCCGTCTTCAACAGTCCGCACTGACCAGCGTGGTGAAGTATGGCTAAATAACCGCCACGTCCCGCACGCGGCATGAGCAGGCGCTCATCCAGCAGTAGATTATCAAATCGAGTCATCTGCTGTCGGCCAGGTGTTAATAACCTTGGAGTATAATTTTCAAGATTCGGGCGCTCTGTGCTGACATCAAAGCCGGATACAGAGCTCTGGAACGACCTGCGGTTCGCGGGACGTGTGTGATAATGCCAATTGCGGTGGCTGAGACCGCTTGAAAGGTCCCCCTTTAGAGGAAGGATAATAAATCTCACGGGGCTTACGTCTTCAAAAGGTTACCGAATTCAAGTTGAATCGTAATGCTTTCATAAAAAGTGTGAGTAAATCTGCTTCTACCTACAGCACGGTAATTGTATTTGGGGCACTCGCCGTTTTCTTTTTCAAAACGAATTTCCACCTCTTGCTTTGTGTGGCCACAATCCCCCATTTGCTCGCGTGCCACTGCCGGCAAACGAGAGGGGGACCTCTGACGTCTACCGCTCCCACGTTTGTCGACCACGTTGGAAGACGTCGGAGTATACCCACCCTCTACCCCAAAGATCCCCCGTATAGCCTGAACACACTGTTGGGGCAAGTGCTGTTAGCGGGTAGTGCCTATGAAGGCCAGAGCGGCACACGAGGGGGTGGGTGGCCAGCATCACAACCGGCCGCCTTTGTCTACCCAGTGGCGATGTTTTTACGCACCGCACCAGGCACTCATTTGATGCTGAGTTGACCTAGGGGAGGCCCAGGACCGCAACAGATAATCGTCGCTGTTGGCCGTGAGCGGGAATCGAACTCGGGTCGCCAGGTTCGTAGCGCAGCATAGCGCTAACCGCTACACCACCGCTCCCCACTACCCACCCTTTATCCCACCACCACCACACATCCTGCCGATCGACTGACAGTGATGTACCCATTTTAAATGACTGCGTGGACAGAGGCGCAAGGAATTTAAGAAATATTCCTCTTGTTTCAACTGCCGTGTGACGGGAAGTGGACTCCAACCCGTGCCCTGTACGTGTAAGCACGTGTACATGGTGACTATGGTCTTATTGCTATATTTGAAACGTGTATGCAGAACTTCTTTCGCACCGTACGCAACCAGCCGTGCTAATCGGAGGCGCGGGAGAGTTCCACCGCCATCTCAATGGCAGTGAGATGTGAAAGTTTGGCGTTGCCACGCTTGATCGTGCGAGCTCAAGGTGTGTTCGAGCTGCTTTGTTTTGTTCTGTGGTTTCTTTCGGTAAAGTCACGTAGAAAATAAAATAAATTGAATAATAGAATACGACGCTTCGATTTTAACACAAGCAGTCGTCATCAGGTAAGAACGAATGAGAAAACAAACCAAGTAAACTTAGAAATATAATCCCATGCAACACAGAGAGTCGGATAACGCAACAGTCAACACCCTACCTGGTGGATTACGTTCTTCCAAAGATTGCTAAATTTGAGAGACAAAACACAGACACGGAGACACACAGACAGACACACAAGCAGAGAGAGAGAGAGAGAGACAACAGCTCCCTGGCGACGATTCCGCGTGCGCGTGCGCTACCGGGCGCGGTGCTCTCCGTGACGGCGCGGCTCCACTCGCTCCAGTGGCCCCTGCCTGAGGAGTGGCGGCAGCGCAGCTCCACGTGGTGGCGCGTCCCGGCGCGCAGCCCGTACAGGCCGTACGCCACCTGCGTGCCCACCTCCTTCGTCTGTCCACGCACGCACGAAAGACAAAGACACCACCCCCCGTGTAGCCTTCACAGACTGTCGGGGCAAGTGCTGTTAGCGAGCACCTATGAAGGCCGGCAATGGCGCCACGAGGGGGAGGGTGGCCAGCATCACGCCCGACCGCCTTTGTCTCCCCAGTGGCGATGTTTGCACACCGCACCAGGTGCTCGTTTGAGGCGGAGTCGACACTGCAACACACACACACACACGACCCATCCACCCTACACACAAACACCCCCCGTGTAACCTTTTACAGACTGTCGGGGCTACGGTACGGTGGCGATATAAGTTAAATCTACGTACGGCACACCTAGGGGGGGTGGGTGTCCCGGCCGCCTTTGTCTCCCCAGTGGCGATGTTTACTACACACCGCACCAGGTACTGATTTGAGGCTGAGTCGACCTAGGGGATGCCCAGGACCGGTTCAGATAATCGTCACTAGGTGTTGTCTGTGAGCGGGAATTGAACTCGGGTCGCCGGGTTCGTAGCGCAGCATAGCGCTAACCGCTGCACCACCGCTCCCCTAAGACACGCACGCAGATCGTGGTGGCACTTCGGCGTCGTCGCCAGCCGTGGTCAATCCGCTGTCGTCACCACCTCGTTGTGAGCTTGCGAAACGACGATCCGCCTTGCACCGGCACATCGCTCCATCTCCTCGAAGGAGGAACCTCTAAGGCACGTTCCCTCCGTTGGCTGCCGCTCTGTCGTTAGTCTCAACCACAGCATCATTATCCCTCCCTGCGAGTGACGGTGTCCCGCCCATGCTGTATTATTGCGACAACCTTTCCGATGTTACTTTCGTATCATCATTTTAAATGTTGGTTGACTTCTTCAGCCCCTGTGGTTCACAGCAGGACAATCACAAACCTGTCAACCCCTTTTCAGTGCCTACCTTATTACAGACCAATTCAGAACTTATTGGTCATCCCGTGACCTTATAAATCTCAACGTTCACCTGACAAAGCCTCATCACAAGGGAGAAACACAAACAAATAAAAGACATTTTGCCCGTATTGCAACGGCTGTACGCCGGTAGACCTGCAAACTCAATTTCCCTGCACAAGAATATGGGTAAACCGTATGGGTTGACAGCTGTGCGATCATCTCACCTGCCAATCAGACGTGCCGTGCCTGCGGTAGCGCAGCTGGAACTGCAGAGGGTAGAATGAGGGGTCAGCGGCAGAAGGGTACGTCCAGCTCACGTCCAGCTGCTTGGGGTATTTGGGAGGCCCAACCACAACCACGTTGGCTGGCGGAGACGGCTGCGCTGTAGGAACACACGGGCACGGCGATTATCATTTCACCCGTAGAGACGATTTAAAAATAACTTTTTTTTTACCAGATAAAGCCCACTGAGCTGTATACCTATTTTTCAGAAGCAACCTGGTCACAAATGTGTCGTGTTTTTCTGTACTATGAGGAAGGTTATGCCCTACAAATATTTTTTTTACCCATGTCTGCCTTTGAAGAGAATTCCTGTCTCTATGGGCATGAAGCAGCTTCCATAGAATGAAGCCGAACTACCCATTACCACTGCCGTTTGTGGTCCGCGTGGGTAAACGCACAGCCCTGCAATTGCCTGCTCACGCTACTGCTGGTGGAAGGAACACTGGAGGTGGAACACGAAAAAGCCCCTCGAGAGGGGTACAGGATTATATGCTGGCCAGGATTCTTAGAAGAGGTGGGAAACCCCACACTTTACCCCACGACCTACCCATGCACGGTGATGCACCCCTGTACACTGCTGGGTGGTCAGAGGTGGCAGGAGGGGGGGGATTTAAGAAATGGCCCCGTTGTTACAACTTCCACGCCAGGCTATTGAACCGGCGACAGAGTCCAGTGCGTTAACCATTACAGTCCAGTGTGCTGACCATTAACACAGCGGCCAAGGCTGTAAACGTCAGTCTGACGATGACGATCGTCGGCGAGGGAAGGTTATCCGCGCCCTCGCATGTTTCACCCAACGACGGCAAGACCGACCGACGTTCATGGGGTCGACGGAGAGCACCGCGGAGGTGGCGTTGCCCAGCAGGTTGTGGGCGACCACCCAGATCCTGTACGTCACGAACAGGTAGAGGTTTTCCCGTCGGAAGTAGCACGAGTTGGCACCGCTCGTCTCGTAGTCCTCGCACTCGTTGTCCGTGCCGTCTCTGCCGTGAGATAAACAAAAAAGAACAGTTCGTTGAGGCCCTTCGAGGGAGGGGGCATCGCAAGGCCAACATTTATTTGGCAGATTTGGAATCGTGTGAATTGACGTTTTATGCACTGCATTTGTTTCATTGCCCGTGATCCTCCGCGACAACACCTTATGATACGTTAGTTTATTTTTGCACTGTCAAGACTCCCGTAGTTTACATGGAGTGCTCTTGCCAATAACATCCACTGGCTCGGCAGTATTTGTTTAACAAGACCGACTGCCTTTGTAGATGATTAGCATTGCACACATAGTGGGATTGCATTGGAAATAATGGTACAAAAAACAGCAAGAGCGAATGTACAGCTCATAATAATAATTATTATTTACAGCCATTAATAAATCAAATACTGGATGAACCCCTCCCCCCATATCGTGTCAGCCGTGGGTGTTGTTATGACCATACTTCCCCACGCGTTTCATTGGTGGCATCACTCTCCACTGATGCTCGTGGCTGGGAATCAAACCTAGGCCACAGGACTCCGAGCGCAGCGCGCTGTACACCGCACCAGGACTGCAAATATACAACTGGACAGGGAGTATGTGATGTGCTGTTGGTGCCAATCTGGTCGGTGATCTGCTCCGGTGGGCCGTAATGGGGTAACGGGCAAAGACAGATCCGAGGAGGGTTAAGCTCCAGATTTAGGATCGCTCACAAATCGATCCAGAGAGGGGGAAGACGGACCAAGGGTGTTAGCGAGGCGTCCGCTGTAAACAACCGGGACGAACGGTCCCTGCCAGCGCCAGAGAGAGCAGCTTCGCCCTAAATATGTGAGCAGGAAGTAACAATTTACATTCCGCTGCTGTCGATGCGGAACCGTGAGGGGCTGTGGCATTTGGTCAACGAACTCCTCTTTGAGCACCCTGAGTTCGGTTCCCGGCCGGGTATCAAGTCACGTCTGGGCCCAGCCACCCCCGCCACCCTCACACCCCTTTACCAATCCGCACAGTGCAGCGTGAAGCATGCTGGAGCAACCCCCGCGCCAAACACGGTGGGCGTGTGGCTTAACAAAGACCATAAAGGGGACGGGGGTGTCATTATTATTATCCACCCGCACGGGCGATTCGATGAAATACCGCGATTGAGGGCCCGCGTTATTTATTTATTTTGTTTGGGTTTACGCTGCGGGTGGAGGCAGCGGCCGCCACCGGCTTCTTGGCTGTGGCGACGGTCACAGCCAAGAAGCCGGGGACCTGCGGCATGAACCGCTTCGCCCGTCGCAGTTTTTTTTTTATATCTCGCGTGCGCAGCGGCCGCCGAACCAGGCGCGCATCACGATCTCGAGGGGCGATGAAAGAGGGGGGCTCGATTTGGTGGGCCTGTGAAGGGGGGGGGGGGCTGGGCTCGTTTTGGGTGCTCGGGGTCAAGGTTGGGTTGCCGAGGAGTCGGTGTCTTGGCGTTGCGCTCTCACACCTCGCTTGACACTCGGCAAAATGAATCGCAAGAGATACGCCAACAATGACTCTTTCGCATCTATTTATCTCTCCATGTGTGTGGTTTTTTTTGTTTTTTTTTAACACAAATCCAATCAACCACGCGGCCTTCTGGGAATGTATAATATGAGCAGCATTGATCCAGTACTACACTACAAGCAAACTCTGGATAAAGTTCTCAACTTCCAGAGTCTCAAGAGCTGAGTCAGGCTTACTACAAAATCAATGCTCGGGAAATGCCAAATCCCAAATGTTCAACGCTAAATTCTTACGGAAAAAAAACAATTCGAAAGACATTGGTTACATGTTCTTTGGGTCTTTCGGTAAAGTCAGGTCGATAGGTTTCTTTGAACACACACAGGTTTCTTTGAAACTATCTACGTGCCTTTACCGAAAGACCCAAATAATATGAATTCCTGCAGTCACGAAAGCTTTAAGACAACATTGGTTATATGTCATTTACATTCTCCACGATGACGCTTATGCTTGTTTTGTAATTATACAATTATTGCGTCAAACTATAGAATCGATATCTTAAACAGAGGCTCCTTGCCAGCAACATCTGGCAGTTCACTATCATTGACTCAATTGAGCCTGCTTGCTGATGAGTCAAACGCAGCTTCGCAGTGTTGCTTGCGCTGATTCAATGCTGCTCAAGTTCTGCGCTCCTCGCAGAAGACTGTGGGTGCTGATGGGCTGAGTCAAGAATGCTTTTGTTTATTTGTTGTTGTGTGGGGTGGAGACCGTTACGGGAATTAGAGACACTGCTCGTTAACTTGATCGCTTGGGAGAATAAAAAAAACATATACGACCCTTTGACATTATTATTATTCATTGCGAGTTTAAGCATGAACATCCAGGTTGAGAATATAAAATTAGATTTGTTTTCTTCTCGGCACGTAGTTTGCCGGGCTGTGACTTCCACGCCTCTGGGTCCGCGTCGGAGAAGGCGCCCTGCCCACTCTGGTCCTGTGGACGCCTGCAGGGCGAACAGCGGCCAGGCCGTGATGTTTGAGGTCTGCTCTGGGCGTGAGGGTGTGAGGGCGTGTGGGTCTCACGTGAGACGGTACATCAGGGTGTGTGTGGTGTGGGTCTCACGTGAGACGGTGCGCCAGGGTGTGCGTGGTGTGGTTGTGGGTCTCACGTGAGACGGTACGCCAGTGTGTGCGTGGTGTGGGTGTGGGTCTCACGTGAGACGGTACGCCAGGGTGTGTGTGGTGTGGTGTGGGTCTCACGTGAGACGGTACGCCAGTGTGTGCGTGGTGTGGGTGTGGGTCTCACGTGAGACGGTACATCAGGGTGTGCGTGGTGTGGATGTGGGTCTCACGTGAGACGGTACATCAGGGTGTACGTGGTGTGGATGTGGGTCTCACGTGAGACGGTACGCCAGTGTGTGCGTGGTGTGGATGTGGGTCTCACGTGAGACGGTACATCAGGGTGTACGTGGTGTGGATGTGGGTCTCGCCCGAGGGTCTCCACTTGCACGTCATGTCCTCCGACAGCCTCGAGCGGCACTCAAGCTCCGTGGGAGCCGTGGGGGGCTCTGCGGGCGGCACGTCGCGACGTGAACAACGTTCCGAAAACAAAACCTTGAACCGCGTTACTTTTGCCGGGTCTCTCCCGCGCCACCCGGCAGGCGCTTGGCTCGATCGGCTTCTCGCTGCATTCCCCATTCTCTCACGGGCTGCTGCGAAGAAGTGTCGCTGTGCCCCAAAACTATTGCCCGGTCTCTCTCTGTAGAGAGTCTCTCTTCGTGGCCACGCGGAGTTACCGACGCGTGGCCACGATGAGTGTTCGCGCTTGAGTAGAAAGCAAAGTGTGTTTTCTCTCTCGCACCTTCCAGGGCCGGTGCGATGGCTTCGGCGGCGGCGCCACACGAAGGCGGCGGTGCCTCCTGGCGTAACGCGCCCTGCCGGGCCAGTGGCAGCGGCTGTGGGTCACTCGCGGCCAGTGTTAACTCAATCCTGCATGCGTTTGTGTTAAAAGCAGACCCTCGACTGTCTGTACATTGTACCTTGATGGCCATTGTGTGTGTGTGTGTCGTAGCCCCGCCACTCTTTATCTGTGCCGGTCGCTCTCTGTACCTCCGTCTGCGTTTCTCTGCGCCTCTCTGCGTCTATCTCCACGTCTTCATGTCTCTTTGTGTATCATTGTCTCTCTGTCTGTGTGTGTGTCTCTCTCTCTCTCTCCACGTCTCCGCCCGCCTTTCTCCGTGGCTCTCGCCTGTGGCTCCCCGCTGTTCTCTATATCGTATCAGCCCAATCCACAGAACACTCCACAATCATCCTATTCCAATCTTGGGAGCCATTACAATATCGCCACACGGTCTCCAACAGCGAATGGGGTTATCCATGCCGAACCTTCCCATCTCAACTCATTACAGTCTCCCTGCTCCCCCCCTATTGCCCCCTACTTTAGCAGCCAAGGCCTTTTCTTGACACGATACAATTTGGATTTATGGAGCGTGTAAACGCACCTGAAGATAACCGCGCGAAGCAACGGGACTCGTGTGCTCGTGGCCGCCTCTCGTCTTCTCTCCCCCGTGTTTTCCTTTGCCCGACTCCCGCCACCCACCCACCAACCCACTCACCTTCTGCCCGCGCGAATGTCTTCACCCCTGTAAAGCGTCTTGCGATGCAGTTGCATTTAGACACGGCGTGCATTGAAATTGTTTGTTGTTGTTGTTCATCAGGAGGGGGCATGGTGGGGTGTGTGTGAGTGTGTTGAGTGTGCGGTACACGTGTGCTCGTGTAATAGATTCGACGGTCAGTCCGAGGCAGAGGAGGGGAGGGAGGACTTCAACCCGAACTTTAACAGGGGCAGGGAGTCAAGTGCTCTGCTGGCCCGGGGTTAGAGTTCAAACTATGGGACCACGAAACAGGGCCAATGCCCCCACCTAAGCCCGCTCCCGATTTCACGGAAAATCTACGGGATGTTAACGGAATAGCTTTAAAAAAAAAGAAATCACTGACTACACAAAGTTGTGTCGAGCACGGCTCACCACACCAACCACGGACTTCACAACGCACAGCAACCTGGAGACGTTTAAATTACCAACATGCGGAGGAAGTGGGGCTACTCTAGCAACCCACTCACCGAATCACTCACTCACTCACTCACACTCCCACTCACCCAATCACACACTCACCCACCCACCCACGCATTAATTCAACTCACGTGGAACGAGAGTGGGCAGGTCAGAAGTCAACGTGCGCCAGAGCGCACGTTGACAGGGGCCAGAAGACGCCTCTGACCCAGCCGCCTCCTGCATTGAGGAGGCCCTCTTCGGGGCTACGGACCGAGCCACTTCAACGTCATCATCATCATGTGCCATTGTCTATCCATTGCTGGCCATATCATCATGAGCCCGATACTAAATAAACATATGACTGTGGTGACAGGACACGAAAAGAACATTGTAATCAAAACAAAACTATTTATGTGCCCAGTAATTAATTGGTCATGAAAAGCAACCCGTCCACCCGAGATCGATTCCCGCTCACGGCCAACACCGGTGACGATTCTCTGAACCGGTCCTGGGCTTCCCCTAGGTCGACTCGGTCTCAAATGAGCACCTGGTGCGGTGTGTAAACATCGCCGCTGGGGAGACAAAGGAGGCCGGGCGTGGTGCTGGTCACCAGCCACCTCGTGTGCCGTGTCGGCCTTCACAGGTGCTACTCGCTAACGGCACTTGCCCCAACAGTCTGTTGAGGCTACACGGGGATCTTTGTCTTTGTTTGGCGGGAGGGGGCGGTGTGTGGGGGGCAGCTGAAACGGCTCGATGTCATTTCTGGGATTACCGCAGGATGTTGCGAGCTCGCCGCGAGACGCGTTTGTGTCTCTCGCCGCTCAGCAGCAGCAGCAGAACAGAGAGAAACAAACGACAGCGCCTCGCGCAGCAGCAGCAGCAGCAGCAGAGAAGCAGAGAGCAGCAGCAGAGAAGCAGAGAGCAGCAGCAGCAGCAGAGAAGCAGAGAGCAGCAGCAGAGAGCAGCAGCAGAGAAGCAGAGAGCAGCAGCAGCAGATAGCAGCAGCAGCAGAGAAGCAGAGAGAGCAGCAGAGAAGCAGAGAGCAGCAGCAGCAGAGAGCAGCAGCAGAGAAGCAGAGAGCAGCAGCAGCAGAGAAGCAGAGAGCAGCAGCAGCAGCAGCAGCAGCAGAGAAGCAGAGAGCAGCAGCAGAGAGCAGCAGCAGCAGAGAAGCAGAGAGCAGCAGCAGATAAGCAGAGAGCAGCAGAGAGCAGCAGCAGAGAAGCAGAGAGCAGCAGCAGAGAGCAGCAGCAGAGAAGCAGAGAGCAGCAGCAGAGAAGCAGAGAGCAGCAGCCGCGCTGCTGGATGCTCGTGCAGCGGCCCTTGGGGGTGCAGCTGCGGCGCCCCGCGCTACGAACCCGGCGCCGTGGGTTGGGCTTCCCGGCCACGGCTAACATCAGTGGCGGTTGACCTTAACCGGTTATGGGTTAACTGCGGTCTTATAAATGAGTACCTGGTGCGATGCGTAAACAAAAATTACTGGGAAAGACAAAGGTGGCACGGGCGTAGTGCTGGCCACAGCACTCTCCCGTGCGTCGTCGTTCCGGCCTTAATAGGTGCTCGCCAACAGCACTTTCCCCAACAGTGTGTACGGCTATAAGGGGGATCTATAAGGGTGCCACGTTTATGAGATGTTAACTACCTCTCCTGGTATACAGGAGGCCGTGAGTTCGATCACGACCCTGACGCCTGCTATATATTTTGAGTTTGCATGTTCTCCCCGTGGTCGCGTGGATTTTTCTCCAGGTCCTCTGATTTTCCCCTCCACATTAGGAAACATCCGTTTAGAGTATTATTTTTCGATAATTGTCCACATGTTGATAAGCTACTTCATTGAGTTATCATTTGTGATCGTCAGGTCGCTTCTGAAAAAGACATATATAGCTCAGTGGGCCTTACCTGTTAAAATATAAAAAATACTTTAATAGTTTCGCTTGTCCTTGTATCATTGGGCACACTTCTAATGGTTCGTGTTGTCCCCACCATTGTTACTTTGCACGAATTGCGGCCCTAGGCCAGGTGCGGAGGGGATTGCATCATTTCAAGTGGGCGAGCTGCGGAATTTTGTGTCGAGTTCTGGTAATGACAACAATATCCTTTATTTATGCTCGGATGAAAGTCCATTGCAACTGGAAGCCTCCTTTTTTAATGGAGCTTTGGGACAAACAAGCACCAGCATTAACTATGATAAGTTGCCGCTGGTTCCTTACGGAGCACACTGAACAAGAACAACAATCGTGTAACAAGAAAAAAAGTGCAACCGAAAACTTAACAGCAATGCGGCAAGCAAGGTGACATCGAAACGATACAGAGGTTGAGCCAAATAAATTACGGGCAATTGAAAGTACACAATCGGGTGTTCAACAGCAGAGAGTGAAACTCGGAGAAGACATGAAGAGTCCTGTATTTGGGAATAATAATAATCAGAAGTTTATTATCCGAGTAAATTACCTATTGAGCTATAGAGCTATTTTTCAAGGGTGACCCGGCTTGCAGACGGACACGGCAGCAAGAGTTAATAAACACAATAAGCCATGAGGTATTAGTGCACAAAGGACAAGTCCCTGGGCGTCAGCGTTGGACGAGCGAAATTCAAAAGACCTCCCTTCATGAAGCCCAAGCAACGAGTCCGATAACTCATCGAAGTAATACGGCAGCTTTAACCCTGCCTGGTTTCAGAGACTCGCCGATTGGATTCCGTCGAATCGTGGGTGATTTGGTCATTGACCGATCCATTAATGTTTTTTTTAAACATTCTTGCTGTGGTTTTCACACCTGATGATTATTGATTGTGTTGCAGTCGAAACGTCGTGAGAATGTTATTGTTATATATATTTTTTTGTATTGTTTTATTGTTTACCTTCTACGTGACTTTACCGAAAGAAACAAGAATATGTATCCCTGCAGTCACGAAAGCTTTAAATCAAAATATTCACATTCGCATGATTAACATTTTCAGAATTTTCAAATTTGACGTCCCAATTTTATTGTTCGTATCTGGGCACAAATCCAAAGCAACCCGATCCACAGTGGCCCGACCTACTTCCACAATCATCCACCCGTGGTGTCCTCGTCACTTAAGCGTGAGTCTGACACAACGGTGAGACTGCACCCACACACATCACCAACTCTGGGGCACTCACTCAACAAATGCATCTCTCAGCCTCATTACCCCAACCGTGAGCCCCCACCGCACATTTCCCAACATCCTCTTTCCGATTAACTATGCAATTCATTTCGGCCCCTTCGCCACCTCGTGAACTTCCAGTTTTTTTTTATAACGGTCTATTGTATTTTTACCAGGTTAAGTCCATTAAGCAACTATAGCCCTTTTCCAGTAGCGATCCGGCCACAAATGATACCCTAACGAAACGGCGTATCACGTGGACATTTACAGCAGCAAAAAACTCTAAACGCATGTTGATTATAAATGTGGGGGGGGGGGGGGGGGGGGGGGAACCGGAGGACCCGGAGAAAAATCCTCGTGACCACTGGGAGAGGGAGGGAAACATGCAAACTCCAAATATACAACAAGCGTCATGGGGTCGGGATCGAACGCACGACCTCCTGCATACCAGGCGATGTAGTTAACGTCTCGGGCGGGCCTGACTCACCGCCCACGTAGACCACGGAGCCGGCGAGCAAGACGTCTCCGTCGCGGTGCACGCACAGGAGGTTGTGTCCGCTGGGCAGCGAGGGCGCCAGCGCCGTCAGGGTCACCTCGGAGCGCCGCGCGTCCAGCACGCGGACTGCCGGCGCGCCCAGCGGCGTGGCGTTCAGAACCCAGCGCAGGTCCGCGGCCCCCAGGCCCGCGCCGTCGCGCACCTCGCACACGGCCGTGAGGTCGTGGCCCACGCGCACCGCACTGTCCTGCGGCGAGACGCTGGCCGCGTTCTTGTACCTCGCTACGTTTGTGGGAGGCGGGGGGGGGGGGTGAAGGAGGAGGGGGGGGGGGGCAGTGGTAATGAGGCGGATAAGGGTAAAGGTGCAGCCTCCGCAATTTTTCGCTCGCGCCACTGCTGGTGGAATGGCCTCCGATTGGCACGGTCGGCTCCGTACGTTGCGAAAGAAGTTCAACATATATACACGAGAGCGAGCTCTGTATGAGAAGCCCTTGCGGAGCGTAGTTTGGCCTCGTCTTCCACGGTGACTTTACGTCTTAGAGGAGGTGGGGTTTCCCACGCTTTACCGCACCAGCGCGACCTGCTGATCGACCACGGTCTAGTCGGTGACGCTACTGCTAAGTGGACACGCGATGCGAGGTGGAGTTGAACCCTGCGACTTCTTCATTGTAAGGTCCAGTGTGATACGACTCATTATACCGCGGCAGCATCACTTCATGTCACGCCATGAGTTAAAACAATATCTTGATTCGAAGCTTTCGTGACTGCAGGAATCCATACTCTCTTGGTTCTTTCGGTAAAGTCACGTAGGTATAAAAAAATCATAGATCACCACGTTTCGATCGCAACGCAAGCCACCGTCTTCAGGTGAGAGAGACGGTCGCTTGCATTACCTACGTGACTTTACCGAAAGAACCAAAGAGTATTAAAACAATATGTATGTGTACTTATATTGTGTTGCTATTATAATTAATAAGAATTTAAAGCTCCCTGTTTTCCACTGCTAGATGAAAGCCTCCTCATTTCGTGTTGGTCATAGCGGTTGTTTGACTATACTTCACCACGCTCGTCAGCGTGGGCTGGTGAAGGATGCGCGCAGGACTGATTCAGGTACCACTCGCCACTGATGTCAGCTGTTGCAGGGAATCGAACTTGGGTCGCTGGATTCGCGTAAACCACTCAGGCACCGCTCCACACCCCTGATTATGCTTTGTATGAAATGTGAATCGAATAGTTTGTATTGCTCGGTGCTAGCAAGTCAACTGATTGCCATCCTTATTAAAATAAAGCTTTTTTTAAATTATAATAACAAGCATGACATTTGTGTGACTTTATCTGTAAAATTATCACAAAGTGACCTTACAAATAATTGCGCTAACATGGAGGCATTTATTAGTTTATATATATGCACAGTATGTATACTCTGTTTTAGTTGTTTTACCACATAATTGACTCATGATTCAAAGAAAAAATCCTAAACACTTGGTTGATAATTCTAAGAAATGCGACTATGTTTGGACACGTCCTGCTCTTGCGAAAGAGGCGAAAGGGGGCTTTCAAGACCACTTCAAATCAGCTGACATCGCTGCCTTAATTCCAACGAACCAATGGGTGGAGAGTCGGGTGACGTTGCAGAGGTTCGCGGTTCGAGCCTGGCCGGCCACCCTGGTCAATACTGCGGGTGTAAAAACTAGACAACTATTTTCTTCTTCTAATTTTACCAGCTAAGGCCCACTGAGCTACGTAGCTCTTTTTCAGAAGCGGCCTGACCACAAATGATAGCTCAACGAAGTGACTTATCATCACGTGGAACATTTCCAGCAGCCCAAATTGTCGAAACGCGTGATGTCGATTGTAAATGTGGAGGGGAAAAACCGGTGGACTCGGAGAAAAATCCACGCGACCACGGGGAGAGAGACGTGCAAACTCCAAATATACAGCAGGCGTCAGGGTCTGGCTCGAACCCACTACCTCCTGCAAACCAGGCGAGGTAGTTAAAATCTCGCCGCTGTAATAACCGTAGACAGTCCAGGCGCCGTCTGCTTCATAGTTGACCTCAAAGATCCGATGACGTCTTTCTGAACGAGTGGGTCACCGGCTGCCGGCGTCATGGTTTTACCGTTTGCAAAAATAAAATAAAAGAGACCGCAAATGACTCATAGCAGCAATCACCGTTCCCTTACTGGCAGTCCAATGTCCACCTGCAGGCCTGCTTCGAGCCGCCTTGCGTTGCACGTTCTGTTTACGTGACAAACCGTGTCGGGTGGTGGCAGGTTTAACGACACATTTATATATTTACGCGATCTACCCCCCCCCCCCAAAAAAAAAAACCCCTGTATTATGGATGATATTGGTCGCGAAAGCCTCCTCCTCCTACTAGGTGTTAAACTTTACCAACCATCTCACCGTAAACGTTGGCAGACGCTCTTCCGTGCAGGTGCAAGACGACGAGCGCCCACGTTGCCAGCTGAAGTCCGCTCTGCATGGCTGCTTTCTTCTTTCGTAGCCACTCCTTCACACAAAGACAAAGATCCCCCGTGTAGCCTTAACAGACTGCTGGGGCAAGTGCTGTTAGCGAGCACCTATGAAGGCCGGAACGGCACACGAGGGAATGGATGGCCAGCACCACGCCCGACCGCCTTTGTCTCCCCAGTGGCGATGTTCACGCACCGCACCAGGTACTCATTTGAGGCTGAGTCGACCTAGGGGAGGCCTAGGACCGGTTCAGATAATCGTCACCGGTGTTGGCCGTGAGCGGGAATCGAACCCTGGTCGCCGGGTTCGTAGCGCAGCGTAGCGCTAACCACTACACCACCGCTCTCCACTCATTCAACAGACACTCACACACGCGGGCGGGCGTCACATTTCTCACGCAATGATTTTGTCAACGTGCTCGGTGACAAAAACAACGCAGATCAAACTAGTCACGGTGTAATCTCAGAATCGAAATGGCACCTAATATCAGCACGTCAAACTCCGTTTGTGCCCCATTGTTGTTGTTGTTGTTATAATAATTGGTGATGTATTATTTTTCATTTTATTATTTTTTCTACCTACGTGACTTTACCAAAGGAACCAAAGAGTATAATAATTACGGTACATAATGTAAAGCCCTTCGGTTAACTCATAGAGGAAGGCTTCCCGATGTGATGTCGGTCATGGGAGTTGGTTGAGCAAACACCACCACCACGTTGGGCCGTGTTGGTGGGTGAAGAGGAAAATCCCCAAGACTGGTTCGATATAATCATTCGCCACTGATGTCAGCCATGGCTAAGAAATGAAACTCGGGTTTCCGCTTTCATAGCGCAGGTGCCAATAATTAGACGACCACGCCGCTACAATGAGCTTGAGAATAATTCACATGTATAATGCGAATTCCATCCTCGGATCCCAGTGTGCAATGCATGAGAAGCAGGAAACAAATATAGATCCCAGGGGCAACCGACCAAACTAAAGGGGGGGAGGCCACTTTAGAGAGATGGTTTTTCAAAGCAGACTTAAACATATCGCGTGGGCGCTGCGAGACTACTGCGCACGAGAGGGAACGGATGATAGACGATACGAACGGGACGGCGAAATCGAGACGGATATATTGTGTCGTTGAATCGCGACCCAGGATCATCAATTCATCATCGCCCGGTGGCAAATAGGGGCGCGGTGAATTCAGCACTCGCCAAATAACAACTAACGTGACGGTGCCATTTGTTCAGTGGCTACGCTGACATCGCCAGCATCTTACAACGCAGTGGGAGACGCGTCCCCCCTTGTAATAGGACGAGAGGTTCAATTTGTGTTCGAAACAAATTTGCTCTCACAAATAAACCGTGATCATGGGCTAAAGGCTAAAACGAATGAAAAAAGAGAAGCACGAATAATGAATAAAGTTTTTTTTATTATTTCAGTTTATAATGACGCTGTCGGAGCGAGTTAAGACCACCAGCATCATGCCAACAATGATGGAGAAATTGGTTTGAAGTCTTGAGCACCTGTCTACATTCTAATAGGTAATTATTTTACATCAAGGATTACGATTGCGCTGATGTGGCGATGCTAAGACTCATAGTACGATAACAGATCCACGACACTCGTTTCGTCCCCTTCATAAAAATATCGTCGTACCTTGATTATCGTTGCTCATTTATTTTTTGTTGTTAAACATTTCATTCACTCATAATGTCTTCGTGATACAATCACATTTCACAAAAGTAATAAAAGTCCGAAATAAATAGCAATTTTCCCCCAATAAATTAGTGCTAATTATGAACAAATTTGGCGGATAAGTTGACCGTACCATATTTGTGTGACGTGCATTTCGTAAATCAATTAATTATGCGCTGTGCAATTGACATAATGTGAGTTACACAGGATATAGGTAATAAAGGTCCACCTGTTATTGGGATTTCAGCGAGCTGCAGTTGGAAAACTATCGAACAATCTCTACGTCTACTCGAAGTCCATCAAATCACAAAATAGGGAATACACAAAATCACAACGGTGAGGGGGAAACTGATAAGGTGATAATCGTCATGTCGTCACATCTAGTATCGTGTCGTTCTATGTCGTGATCGACGATTAGCACGGTTGGCTACGTACGGTGCGACAGACGTTCGACATACGTACGTACATACAAGTGACATTGCGGTAATCCCACGGCAACTCACATTGTAAGAACACGCGTGTAACATTGCCCACCACCAGTGCAAAGACGGGCCTTCAAATGACCGATGTATTTAATTGTCCAACGCAAAACGGTACTCACGGTGTCACGATGGTTGCTTTGGTGGTGAGAAAGCCGGCAGGCCGAAACTCGACGTGACCTGGGGTATATATTCACTCACCAGGACGCCCAGAACGACGCGATCATTTCCTTTTTTTTTTACAATGAGTAGAACGCTTTCGCTTTCGGTTCAGCTTATTGGCCACTAAACTTCACGTAACACGCAGTGGCGAGTGATATCCGAACTGTGACCCGGTGTGGTGAAGTATGGCCAAACAATCCCCCCTTCCCCCCCCCACCGTGACCGACACAGCATAAAGAGACTTTCAATCAGCAGTGGATTCACAAAAGGCCGCACAAAAACTAAACTGGTAGTATCACTGGACAGTAAGTTCATGAGTGTTGGATTCCGAGCGAGTAAGCGCTGACTTAATGATACACATTCTCTATACCTACCGACCATGCATTCCAATAACATCATTGACCTATGTGACAGTTGTATCGATTTTTTCTCAGTTGATAAAACACGCGGCTTACAATGGGAGGTAAAGATGCAGCCTTTCAATTGCTTTCTCTCGCCACTGCTGGCGGAATGACCTCCCCTAGCTGAAGCTCAAGAGCGGTGTTCTTCACTTCAAGGCCTGCGGGCCTCTGGTGGCCTCTGGTGGCCTTTAGCGCGGCCCCCGAAAATGCACAACATGTGAAACACCATACTCTTTGGTTCTTTCGGTAAAGTCACGTAGATATAAAACAAAATCAATTAAATCACGACGTTTCGGGCGCAACACCAGCGTCCGTCATCAGGAGGAACAGCCACAGCAAGAAACAACTGCCGAGGCGGGCAAAAGAGCTGCTTTCAACAAGGGGATGTGAAACACCCCCCATGATCATCGTGCTGCTGTCAAATCCCAATGGTTTCAAATGTGTGGCGGCCCTCACAGCGATGTCTTATTGGCGAAAGTGGCCCTCCTGTGAAGATTAGTGAAGAACACTGCTCTAGACAGACTTCCTCTGGAGGGTATCTTGCCTACTCTCTCATGCTGGCCAGACGCCTCGAAAGAAGTGGTAGAACCCACACTTTACCTGACCACGCATCACCTCGTTTATTTTTAAGAATTTACAAATAGAGTATTGGGCCGCTGGAACATACCCCATGTATTTTAGTTAATTCTTATGGGAAGTAGCTGATCAGTTAACGTCGCATCCGTTATAAGTCGGGAGAAAAAAAGAGAAACATCTACCTGTTATCCGTACGAGATAATCCGCAGTCGACCACAGCACGGTGGCCGATGGGCACGAGTCTGGGCAGGGTGCCGTGGGTGCCAATGACGGACACGGCAACGCTCTGCAATATGCGGCTATGGCAGAAGCAGCAGCGGCAGCGGTATTGACGGGCGATGAGGTTGCGGCATTAGCGACAGCAGCTGCGACGATGGCAACAACAATCGTCAATATCGTCATCCGTCATTGTCAATTTGTATCTGGTGACAGGCAGACTGGTGACAGCCAAGTGGCGTCAGCAGAAAGTACGATTAACCACCTTCCATAATCCATTATTGGCATCGCCGTCAGCAGCACCACCACCGCCATCGTCCATCAACATTGCATTGGCAGGGGTGACGATGGCTGTTGTATTCGGCGGATCGCCGTTTTGGCTAAAGATCAGTGTCAGAATGAGAATATTTATTTAGACTGGAGGAATCCGATGAGCTATAAAGCTCTTTTTCCACAAATGTCCAATGTGAAGTGGCCCTCTGTGGCCATGCCGTCGATGCCACTGAGTCGTCCTCATTCTACGGCAGCTGTTGCAGATTATGGAGCAGTTTTGAAATGTCTGCTTGTGCAATGTCCCACGATGTGGACTTGCGTCACATCGATTGTCGACCTGTGGTAGCAAACGCAAGCAGAGGCCATCACTTCCATTGATAATCATCATAATCATAATCATCCATTACCAACATCACCATTATTTTATTTTTCCCCTGTGGAGAGGAAATTATGGTAGAACTCAGATGCGCCGGTCCATGTCAACCTTTAATATATCAGGGGTCTTGGATAACACGTTTAACCTTCCAGGGAATATGTGCATTTAGAAACGTGCGTTTAGATTATTTATGGCTGCTATGCATTTCTACATGATAAACTACTTCGTTGAGCTATCATTTGGGGCCAGGTTGCTTCTGAAAAATAACGAATAGCTCAGTAGACATTACCTGATAAAATAAAAAGTGTAGTTTAGTTTACATCAGTGTAACACGTAGGCTTTCGCGACCAATATCATCCATAATATAGGTTTGTTTTGGGTTAAATCGCGTAAATATAAGCGTGTCGTTAAACCAGCCACCACCCGACACAGCCAATTAGTAAGGTTTGTCACGTAAACAGAACGTGCCAATTCGTGACTCGTGCAGCACACCGGTGTGTTGGAGAGCCAAGCCACAACATTTACAATCTGAGTACTATGTTTTGCCAGTAATTACAACTAGCTTCATCGGGCGACAGACAGATTTGTGGTGAAATATTCCTGTTTCGGTCCTTAAATAGAGGGGTAGATGTGATGATTAATGATTGCATCTACATTACCATGGGTATCCATTGCCGGTTGTGTTATTCATATGGTAATTATCAATGTCCATTATACATGCACATTGAACTTGTACCTCCTGTCGTTTGCCTGCAATAAAATAGCCGTGCCTGTTGTTGTCCTCGAACAGGTAATCCCCATTGACGTATGGTGGCCTGTATAGGCATGCATTTAAACAATGTATTGTTTGATGATTCGCTTCCAAGCAGCACTAAGCCTGTAGCTTTCCGAACGGTTAAAATAATTTAAATTTCTCTTAATTTCGATAGGTGCTCTAATTAGTCTTGGCCAGTAGTAACTAGTTTTTCACAGAACTTGAACAATTGAGTGTCCTTGTTGGCACGCGTTTTCTGCCACTGCCGACAGTTGTCTGGGAGTGTTTCATATTTCTTTGGTGTTCTTTTAGTCTCGCGCTCATCATTCGTCCTGTCTGCCCCAACATTGCATTTGCAAGAAGTGCAATTTATCCGGTAGCTTCGGTAATACATATTTAGTGCCATATATTAGTTTCTATATTTGATGTGCCGTACAAAAACTGGAGGAAGGGCCATTGCTATTGATGCCCCCAGAGTCTGGAATGCTATTGCCAATAAACTGCAACTTGAATCGCTACCAATGAGATCTTCTCTCAAAACTGCTCTAGAGGAGTTGTACACCCATAGCTGCCACTGCTATTCATTGGCGTAAAATAAAATAAAATGTTTTGCTCCGGATGACGTTGCAAAGTATTATCTGTATTTTTATTTAGCGTGCTGATCTTAAAGGTGCATTGAAAAATGTGATACTCCGACCGATGCTTCTGTTGTTGTGGAGTAACTCATGCAGCCAGCTATGGCTCTACGGTTTTGGTGTTACATGCTATTTATGTAGTTTATTGTAAAAATTCGGTCACAGTCCTTATGATCACTGTTACGTTGCAATTATGGCTTTATTTTTTGGTGATTTGGAAACGTTTTTTGGTTTGGACATGTTTGTTTTGTTGTAGTACGGAGTTAGACTGATGGCCTTAATCTAAGTTTTTGTGGTTGTTGTTGTTTGACTTGCATCCCACTGGGATTTTTTGCACAGCGTTGGTGTACGGTGCTTTTTTCAGGAATATTTTTGCTGTTTTTTCCCATGGATTTTCTGTTTGCACAGTCACATAGTCACTTTAAGATGTTTTTCTTGTTCGTGTTTTTGTTTTTTTGTTTGTTGTGGTTGCACCCGATTCAGGAGCCGAATGGCTCACAGGGCTATACCAAAATAAACTGAAATGAACTGAACATCTGACTCGAATGTTTTGTTTTTCCAAGAATCTGACTATTTTATCAGTTATTCCCGCAATGTACGGTATTTTAATAGTTGTAATTACTTGGTTAGTTTGCTGTCGTGTTATTTGATTTCGTTTGAGCTTACATATGTATTTATTTTTTGTGATGTGCTTACATTTCCTATACTTTTCACCCCAATCTTTTTTTTATATTGTTGCAACTTTCTGGCCAGCCCCTACTGGACACCTGTGAAAAAGAGCTTCATAGTTCCTCGGATTTCTCCATGATAAATACATATTCTGATTGTGACAGCTAATGCACACATGGGACATCAGAGACTCTGCCTGTGTGCGACTGTGGCTACGAAGACCAAACTATGGGCCATGCACCATCGCTCTGCCCAATATACATGTCAAGGTTTGTGGGTGGGTGAGCGAGTATGTGGGCAAGTGGGCGAGTGGTTGAGTGGGTGATGGAGTGAGTGGGTGGATGTGTGAATCTGCAATTCACCCACTCTAGAATTGAACGGCTTTGTCAAATAGGAGTGAATCTCTAAAAGTTGCTCTTCGTTGGCCACGTGAAATAATTAAGTTTGTCTTGTTTATTCGGCAGATGTTCATCTCCCTTGCGAATCTGCGCACACCAGATGGAAGTCTGGCATAACCTCACGTCCCATTGGGACTGCATTCTTTTCCACAGAGGACTTAGCACCGTCTCTCAGTTTAAACCTAAAACCTTCCCGAGAGCAAAGAGGTTTTAGTCGCCGTCCGTGATTTTTCTCACCGGCTTTCCAGAACATTGCGGGAATAGGGAGAGGTCGGTTTGGAGATGATGGCGGATAGTTTCTGGACAGGTTTCACAGATAAGGAAGGGAGCCAGGAACACGAGCTTGTTCATATGGTTGCCACCTTTCCCAGTTTTCCCAGAATTTCATTGAAGTAGCTATGCTGGGAAATCTATAAGCGTTCCCGCAACATGATGAGCCCTGGCCTTTGACGGTTGCATAACAAAACTCCGCTCCAGACAATGCGATTACACGCAGTTCTTCCCCTCTTCCGCTCCTTGTGATATTATTTTTGCTCTCATGAAATGTTAAATTTTCTTTGTTTTACTCCGGCTCTATCCGGTATGAAACACAAACCAGGGGTTAGAGAGCCTAACGCCCTTTAGTAGCCCCTGCAGCAGGCGTCTGAGAATACATGTATGTGTGTTGAACTTGTTTCGCACCAACCGTGCTAATCGAACGACAAACTAAACGCAAAAAGCTGTTAAAAAGAAATGAGTTTTCAGTCTATTGGAAGGAAGAGCGTTCCAGACGGCCGCAGAAGCGCATCTGAAAGCACGCGATGTCGCGGCCGTCTTTGAGGCTGAGTCGACCTAAGGGGGACCCAGAACCAATTCAGATACTCGTCACTGGTGTTGAACTCGGGTCCGGGTTATCGCTACAATTGGCATCACCGTCACCAATATCAATATCCGCCATTCGCCACGCAGTGACGGTGACGTCACCACGGCGCCTGTACCAGGCTAGGTGCACTTCGAGGCCACGTGAAGTGTCGAAGGCTCGCTGACAGGAGGTCTCGGGACAGACCCAGCAGGCGCCGTGGGGTTGATTCACTGAGATGACCGTTAGATGCACACTAGCTGTACCCCTCGTCGCTCCGCTGCCATCCGTTGTTGCTGGAGGGCGACTGCCTCCAACTAGCCCAGCAACAGCGGCGTCCTTCACGAGCCTCCTCCACAGAGGACGATCTTGACACTGTCACCACCACCACTGTCAATCGTCCATCAAAGTCATTGCATTGGCAGCGATCACCGCACGGGCTCCACTA